CTGATATAAATAAATGATTTTTGTTTCTTGAAAACTGTTGTTTCAATACACAGATTATTATGTTGTGATTTCCACTCAAAATATGAAAGTAGGATAATGCCATTATTTTATTGTTTCAAACAAGAAGAAATTGTACTTCCATATATGGCATAAACAGAGTCTGAAAAATCTCCATCTTCATTCTTGTATGGATTTATAGTACATGTATCTTATCCCCGAGCCAATGGCGCAGAGCGCCGTTCCGGGTGTAAGCCCGGGGTGAGGGTACCAATTTTGCCTGGCTATATCTACACCCGGGGAAATGAAAGCATTAGCACTGTCTAAAGTTCATCAATGATAGTGGGCGTGGGTCACTGTGCGTGTTTCGGTGGGTGGTCATCTCACTGATCTCAAAATATGGCTGTTTGCCAGGAGTGAAGAAGGCAAAAAATATAAAAAATACATGTAAGAAAGCTTGGAAAATCGTTTCACATAACAAATTGTAAACGTAAACATTTATAAGAATCTATATAGTATGAGAAATCTTGAGTTTGTATCAATTGTTTATGTATGACTTTGTATTAATACAGACTTTGTTCTTGATGTTCAAGTCATTCCTATGCATTGTTTGTGAAAGTTTTTTAGTTAAATTAACTTTTGTAGAAGTTCATGATAAAAAGGAAAGCAAATTATTTTCATTAGCATCCTGTACAAATGAAACTTATTTCATTTGAAGCTCGACTTCATCCTGTACAAATGAAACTTATTTCATTTGAAGCGACCACTTCTACAAGCAGTGTTGCTGTGTTGTTGGCAGGTATCCACACTACAAATAATGTGGAGGTAGGTAACATTGTTTTGAACTGACAATGGATGGGATGATCAGTTCCTCAGAGTTGTTTGCGAACCATGTAAATATCTTGAGAGATATCGACACAAGTCCATTTAAAAATCTAGACATGACTTACTCCCTTTCTTCCATCTGCAACATGCTTTGTTTTAATGTGATTTGAAAGAGAATTTGGGTGAAACTGTCTGTTGCCATCAGCAAATGAGCATCTAACTCTGGTTGCTTGCTGTCGTAGTGATCTTCATTGAGCAGGTCTGTATTCAAACTCCTGAAATGAATGACCGTCTACTCTACCTGTCATGTTCATGTTTTGTTGTTGCTGTGGCAACTGTTGATGCTGCAGCGGCTGCTGTTGCAACTGTGGCTGCTATGGCAAGGGCTGTGGTGGCCGATGCTGCTGCTGTAGTGAATGATGAAAGCGTATAGAGTAAGTAGAAATAGCTTATATTTATAACTTTTCAGACTATATACTTTTAAACAAACCTTCAAACAAGAAATCCATGTAAATGCTTCTATTGCCAACACAATGATTCAGTCACACAAAGTTATAAACATATTCTGTGTGTCCTCGTGTTCTGTTCTGTTTAGCCAATCGAATGGCATATCGACTGGTTTACTTTCATCGAGAAAACTCTGACCACTGGTTTACTCATAATTGCAGGCGGTTATGTGTGATTCATGCTATGTTTACCAGTCCATGACCCACAACGATATAGTAGCAGATTACTAGTGAAACCACAGTTAATAGAAATAGAATGGTTTGAACCAGAGCGATTACACCAGAACTGAAGAAACAAAATAATCAATTTAAGCAAAGCTATATGGAGTAATATGTTCTGAAGGCTCTATCTGCCCGAGGGTGCTTTCAGTCTGCCAACGCATCTGCGTCACAACAATTAATCCGTACCAGGTACGTACAAGGTCCAAGTACCTTGGCAGAACAAGGGAACCGTTTTCTAGCCCTGTTAATATTACAAAATATCTGATAAATATCGAACTTTGGCTGCTAAGCATGTGAACAACTGATGCAAACTTGGGATTAACCAATCTGAAATTATCCTGAAGGTTTTTTCCTTCACGTGCATACGTACAATGGCCCCCTCTTTGCGCAAGGACTTTTGATCGCAATGTCGACGTGCACTGCTCATTTGCAAGACTTTAGCCAGTGCGTTAGCATCTCTGGAAAAATTTTTGGCTAAAATTTAAGGGACGAAACCTTGGCAAAGAAGTGGAAATTTAAAAAAAACAACAGACCAATCTTGGAACAAATGGCAAAGCAATGCGCAAGATCACAAGTCCAAGGACGATGCAGTTTCCCTGAGGCGGGAACTATTTTGGAATATCTTAGGCTAGATATGTTATAACAGCTGTAATACAGCCTTATCGTACTGCTACTTTATACACACGAGTCACGATTCATAATGCACTGTTTGCTGCATTTCACTTAATTTCCTGTGCACAAGTCTTAACACAGTTCTATAGCTATTATTGATACTTTGTAACATGCCAGCCGTACGAACAACATGTATTCAACTACAAAAAATTACACCCAGTACAAAGACGTGGTTTTTCTTGTTATATGAGGATGGTTTGTCATAATATAAGGACGGTTTTATTATCCTAGTTGCAAGGACGGTTTATCCTAGTTATAAGGACGGTTTATCCTAGTTAAAATGATTGAGATGTTCATATATAAACCGACCTCACCAGATCCCAACTAGAAAGGTTATGCTGTAGCAAGTTAAATGTTTTCTTTGTGCAGATGTATATTTTGTTACACTATAAACCATACATATACCATGGCTTACACACGGCTTTATTTTATCTTTCCTTAAATTCAAGCCACACATGGCTGTGTATTTACTAAGAACTATGGTGCTATTGTGACTTGTGAGTCGAATAACTCGAAAAACTCCATCTGCATCACATCACGAGCTATGTATAATAAGATTAATCAGTTATTTTCCATTAATCTCGCTGGGGAAAATCCCGCACTTATGGAGTGTCATATAACCAATTTGTGCAATAGTTTTACCATACACATATCATACACACGGCGTATATATAAACACGTCATTTTAGTTGACCTGCATCTGGGGACGAAGGCGGACTTATGGCCTCCTTAATATCATTATCGAGACGTAAGCATAAGAAAACTCGCTGAATCTTACTGGCTGCCGCTTTTAAATTTGCATGCTTAGGCAAAATACTTGGTGTTGTTAATATTGAGTGTGACTGAACGGGACTAAATCCTGAATAAATTGAATGTCGATACACGCATGTTTAATGCGGGTCTTTCAAACTTGAAACTTATAGCTCGATCGATCGTATAGCGAATAGTTATACTAATATACTCGCATACGCAACTATTTCTCGTGGCAAGATTCGAAGAGAAGATGGGTTAAGTTCCCCACGCTCTTCTCAGATATAAAAAAGAAGTGTGACTGAATGACTTCCTGCATGCATACAGTTTATTAGTTGATGTTTTGCAGACCTCGGTCAGTCATCAGGTTACAACTCGCAAGCCAGAAAGGAATTCATACATCTCGTAAATCCGCAATATTCTTTATATGAATAGGGCAATGCTAAGGGCAATGTACATTGAAGTGGAAATATTTCAACTATCAAAATCGTTTGCCTTTAATAATTGCTTTACTGGCTATAATTATACTGCCATTGGATTGCACATAGGTAATAATACTAACGACTTACAATGTCATCGCATACATATTTAAAAGTGCCAAAGACAAAGTCACAATAACGGTGTACTATTTGTAATTGTAGACTAGCTGGCAATAATACAATTTGCCTGAAAATATCTGTCAATAGGAGATTAGTTCTGCACTTAAACACCTCTAAAAAGAAACGCAGATGCGTTTCGGTTATTTTCTCTATGGTTGCAAATGCACGCGATTTACCGTTACGTTCATACATGTAGTCGCTCATACGACTATGACAAGCCCCCAATGTAATGTGGGTATAATTCTTCAATACATGAATGTAAAGTTGTGTTCCCCATATTGTATAACACTTAGTGAAAACCCACCTATATAATACCAGACTGTGCATCAGTTGGATGCATAAACAACCAAAATGCATGGCAAAGACAATCTGAGAGAAACACTATACTGTTTCAAGTTATCATATATTTACTATACAGTACACTCCAGCTAGATCCATCATGTATGTATACTCGCATTCTGTGCCTGGCAATGGAATTTGCAGAGGCAAGCAATAATTGATTTTCATCCATATCATATAACAAATAATCCGCATGCATAAGTTGCTTTATAAGGCGGTTTAGTTGGCATTAGCGTATATTCACAAATATAATCAATCAAATCTTGGATTTTGAGGAACGAACATTGCATAAATGAATATGAGTCCGTTTTTCGTCCTTAGATGCAGGTTAACTATTCAGTTATCTTTCCACCTATACATTCATCACCTAGCTCCACAAATTTCTCACTGTACAGGTAGAGCACTCGTTTTTCTCTTGCGTCTTTCCTTTTGTTTTTAAGGCGAACAACAAACTCGAATGCGTTCTGGTGATGTTCACTCCTGCTATCTGAACCGAAGACTATTCCCGGATTGCAGCCTCATCGCTCGATTATGAACTCTAAAACATTCTAACCTATGAACTGTCTATATGTATTGTAATGTTCCTGCATGAATTGCGAGGACGAGGTTTTACTGAGGTTTAACTAGTAGTTTATAACGCTCAGAAGCTTCTATAATCCAGTTTAAACAATGGCAAATTCAAAATATAACCTAACTTGGATACTTGCAGGAATAAAATGGTTATAAACACTTTATACTGGTTGTAGAAAAAGCAGCTAGTTCAAAATGCCAGCCTACTTGTAAACCCGCAGAGTAAAAGGGTAAAAACACTATGCTACTATTATATATAACCCTCGCTCCGACGTTATCGTTTGCAGTCTTAGGTATGGTGCTGTTTACCATGATGCTGATTCTTCTTACACTTGTAAAGATAGAGCTATGTGGGGAGCTGCGGGTGGTCTTGGCCCTACCCAGGTTTTCCTGTACTGCAGGTTTTTTCCTGGCCTCCCTGATTACCCAGCCTTAGCATAAGTGTCAGCATCAAGTGAACAGCATTCTCTAGTGAACCTCGGGCCTTTTGACTTCGTTAAATTGACATAGCCGGACTTGGCCGCGTCGGCAATGAACTGAAATGGGTCTGCAATTAGTTCTTTCATATAAAAACAACAACAAAGTTCAAACATTTAACGAATCTGCCTAATATTGACATGCTAAACGCAAAAGCAAAAAACAAATTTTTATTCTTTAACCACCCCCTTTTTCATTTTATTGCCGACCCGGTCGACTCTGCGCTGCTTCCCGTGGCGGAAACGACAACCTATACTTCGTATAGATTGTCATTAATGGCAGGGAAGTGCTGTCCGATGGACAACACTTCACCACGTGAAGCGCAATCACTGCTCATTCAGTTCGCACTGAAGTTAAAATCAAACTTTTTCAAAAATTTTTGAAACTACTGGAAGGACTGAAATAGGCCTATAATTATTCAAATCTAGTTTTGAATCATGTTTATAAATTGCTGATACCCTGGAACACTTCCAGTCAGCGTGAATAATTCCCTTGCGAATTACTAGATTAATAATGTGAGTAAGTGAAACCACAGTAGTGAAATTAATTAGTTTTAATAAACGAACAGGAATGTTATCAAGACCGCTAGCCTTAGAAGTCGATAATTTATAAATTAGTCCATCTATTTGAGATGGATTAACTTCATGTAATTCAAAAACTTCATTACATTGTGGAATGTTATAAGAGGCCGCACCAGTTGTTGGAATTGGCGCTGCTAATTTAGGTCCGATTTCAGTGAAGTGCTTATTAAAAACATTGCTAATAGTTACTGGGTCAGTAATTTCGATTTCATCTTGCAAGATTTTTGGTATAGTAGTTAAATTTTTAGATTTAGAAAGAAGACTGTTGATACCATTCGACCTACGTTGAGTTGAAACAAAGAATTATAATATTGCTTTTTACTATCTCTAATTTTATAGTTAACTAGATTTTTAGCTGTTTTAAAATTGACCCAATCATTTTCATCATTAGTATAAACTGCTTTACGCTTTAATCGATCTCGTTCCCATATTAATTTCTTGATTTCTACAGAGAGCCATGGGGCACAATTTTTCCTTATTCTTCTTTGTTTGACTGGAGCATGCTTGTCAGCAACATCAAGAAATAGTTTTTTTCCAAATTTGCCAAGCATTTATAGGATCATCTAAGGAAACTATGTACTGCCAAGGAATAGCATCAATGTCATGCTTGAATGAAGTTTCATCAAAATTTTTATAACTGCAGGATTTGATAGTTATAGGCTTAGATTTAACACTAGAGTGTTTTCTGATAGCATAAATTAAGTTATGGTCGCTGATACCTAGAACTATAACGCCCGCAGAAGTAAAGTTGTTCGATTCATTAGTAAGAAAGAGATCGATTAACGTGGATGAGCTATTTGCAACTCTAGTTGACTCCTTACTAGAGATCTTTAGCATAACTCCACTCCATATGCAAATGATCTACTATAGTGGCAAATGCTTAATTAAATATGCATGAATATATAATTAAACTGATTAACGTGCGGCAATTTTCAACGGTACTTTAATCATGACAACATGTATTGAATTGTATAATCGCGTAAAAACGTTCACACTACACAACTTAAAACAGTTTTTCTTTCCAAACATACAAGGTTAAAATGTTCATTATTAAATCACAGAGCAGTTGTAGTATGCCTCTAATACCAACGAGATTTCAAATTCTGTCACATGGTAGCGTCGCTGCTTTGTCTTAGGCGGTTCTGCGGAAAATAAACGCAATAGAAATCAGAATATAATTTACAAATTATCGGCCACTGTACCTTAAACCGATTAAAATTAGTCAAACTAAAATTATACCTTGTCCTTGCAACTCTATATCATCCTCATTACTCTTTTCGAAATCGAAGGGCCTCCTAATTGAGGCCATCACTTACATAGGCAAAGGATACTGAAAGAGAATAAAGTATAGGCGAAGAAACCACAGTTATATACACGCAGCTCGACGCAAGACACAATAAATAGAAGTAAACTAATTTTATTATAATTGAAGCTGATTCGTTTAACAATGCACTTTTACACTTGGGGCGTCCACACAATTGTCTACACCCAAGGCGTAATAGCATCCTACGAACGTCCGTTTGCTATAAATGAACAAAAGATAACGCGCTCTTTCTAAACCAATCAAAAATTTCGGCCTTGGGGTTTAATATCTTTTATTCATTATTACACAAAACAACGGTAGTCAGAAGGTGAAGTGGGTTGACTGGGTTTTTAATTGTGTTTCATTGTACATATATATCATTTAAACAGCATTTTTAAAGTTGAGTTAACAACGTCGGGGAAGACGTGCCTAGACAGCATTTGCGAAATATCATAATCCGAGCTTCAACGATTATTTTACCCCTTATTATTGCCATTCCACCTACGCCACCATATGTTTTTAACAACAATGAACAGATCATAAAATTACTCGTGAATTTTATGTTACTACTCGTGGATTTTCAAATCCCTTCCCCCGCAGATCTATGCAATATAATGTCTCGTCTATATCCTCAATTTCATGGTTTTACCTTCAGAGGGAGAGATATATTTCAGGCCATAGAAAATCAAAGATATCTATTTTGGTTGAATACAGGCGAGCTGCCCGAAACAATGCTGGGTATAACTGCGAATATATCAAGAAATTTGTTGAGGTTAACCAGCAAGGGTAGGGTCTGTAACTCCTGGTTGCCAAATACAAGAGTCACAGGGGGTTGAATGGTTGAAATGGGTACAAATGAATATTCGAACTCAACAAATAGCAAATCGATGTACAATGGTTAACAAATTTAATATTCAACAAAATCAATGGCCTTTGTACAAGTCACGCAACGTATTGTAGCCAAGTAGAAATTCAATACGGGTAGCAAATTGTAGAATAAACACGATGTGGGACTTGTAGGTTAGGCGCAGTCGTAGATTTGTAGGATAAATTGTAGATAAGTTGTAGCACAAGTTGTAGCGTAAATTGTAGCATGAATAGATTGTAGCATGAATAGATTGTAGCATGAATAGATTGTAGCATAGATTGTAGCATAGATAGATTGTAGATTGTAGGTTCGAACTGAAACATGACAATAAAATAAACTACTTAACTATGTTACTTAATGCATGCGAAAACTAACACACAAATGTCATTGACTAACAAAACTAACAAGCACATACAATACTGTAAAACTTACGTACTTTGGTTTACACTTGTACCAAACGAGTAGCGATGAATTCAATAGCAGTTCTTCGTAAAAAAACGTAGAAATGTCCCTTTCAGTTTAAATAGCTTGTAGCAATTACACGTCCTTACTCTGACGCAGTCACAACTTTACTAACTCACGCTATCTAGTCTATTAGGAACATACGGTATAGCCGTTTCCGTCCTTGTATCAATCAAATTAACTATATTATTAACTAAAACATAATGAACTAATTTTAAGTAAGCGTTTCAAACCAACATACCGGCCCCTTAAAGGTTACCTACGGGATAACCTTTACAAAAAAATATACTGCACAGTATAAAGGTTTGAGCGCTTATAATCTACTAATTAAAGTGTTTCTACTTATCGTTATGAGCTTCTTCCAGCAGGATCATCTTGCTTATTGGTCGAACCATAACTGACGTGGATGTCTTGATCTTCGCCGATCGCACTAAACCATCCTTCTTGTTGGTGTATACTTCGAGAACACGACCAAGTGGCCACGAACTGCGAGGGGATTTCTAATCAAGCACCAAAACAATATCGTTGACTTCCACGTTTCTCCGCAACTCGTTCCATTTTTGTCTCTGTTGTAAAGAAGGCAAATACTCACGATGCCAACGTCGCCAGAACAGGTCAGCGAGATATTGCACCTGCCGCCAACGACGCACGCTACAGTTGTCGTTTCTCGAAAACTTTCCAGGTGGAATAGAGGGTCCAGGGTGTAGCAGTAGTAGATGGTTGGGGGTTCCGGCTGCGCATACAATAGCTTTCTTTAGTTCAGGTTGATCTTCTGGTAGATTACAAAGATCATCGGGTTGCTTTGGCCACGTTTCGCTCGACTGTGTAAGAAAGTCTGGACCATGTATCCAACGTTCCAAGCAATCTGCAGACACTCCTCTCGAGGCGTCATCAGCAGGATTTGACTGGGTGTCGACATAACGCCATTGTGAGGGCTCAGATAACTCTCTTATCTTCGTGATCCGATTCGCAATGAACGTTTGGAATCTCGTAGCTTCGTTGTGGATATATCGCAAGACACACGTACTGTCGGTCCAGAAATACGATCGATCGATTTCAAGATCTGATTCAGAGCGGATTATTCGATCTAATCTCGTGGCAACGACTGCAGCAGATAACTCCATTCTTGGTAT